TTTGGTATACAACACATGAATGAGTAGATCAACAAATTGTGCAAAACAATTGTGAATGTGGATCTTGAAATAAACAGTTTTCGCATATTTTTATTTAATCCAAGTGTTAAGGGTTCATGGCTACTCCAAAGACTTTTTTTTATTTTTTTGGTCAATGTTTGTTTTTTAATTTTTTTAAATGCGTCTATAAAAAACACATACCCTAAATTTTCACCCTCTTACCACAAACCCATATTTTGTAAGAATTATTATAGTAATTGCCTCATTTTTCAGCTCGATTTTTGTCAGTGAACTTTATCATTAAAGACTATAAATTAATTAATTAAAAAATTAAGTGATAATAATATTTCACCAGGTCGATAACTGGTACTATCGTACTATCGTCTATTTGTGGAAGTTTTTTTTACTGAGTATTTTTGTTTGATTGAAAATTTTCAATTAATTAAATTAAAACTTTAATTGTATGTATAACACAGCAAAGCATGATCAGGTACAGCTAGTATTTTAATAAAATTCGTTCTCAAATATTCAATTTTGTTACTATTTATAAAAATACATTCAGCTTCTATAAATCGAGTAATTGTTATTTTTTTATCTATTTCCATTACCTTCAATTTTATTTCATTTCCAGACATATTTATTCCTCTTTGGTCTGCTGATAGCAACCACTTTATCTGTACCATTAAATCAAGATGATGATCAATCAACTGTTCCGATCAAATCTGAAGAAGTAGTTGACACATCTTTGACCCAGGAATCAAACCCTGATGATCAAAAACAAGATATTACTGAAAACAATGATGAAACATCTTCAGCTGATTTAAATACAAAGAAAATTCAAGTAGCAGATCAGTTTTCAGTGAAAAAAGGTAAATTGGATTAAAATATTTTTAAAAGTATTTCATATTAAAAATTAATTATCTTACAGCTCGCACATGTCTGCTGTTTGGTCCTTTGAGATCACACGAGGTAGATTGTACTAAATATTATTTCTGTAGAAAAGTAGGCAAGAAACCAGTTCTTCAATCATGTAATCCAGGATGCTATTTTGATGACAAGGCTAGAAAATGTGTTGAAGGAAGTTGTACCGGTGCTAATGATAATGGTAATAAATATTTATAAATGGTTTTGCTACCTTTTGTGTTTACTGGATTAAATAATACTTTTACATAGCACTGCCAGAAAAGTCTTCGACAAAGTATTCTTCATAAGATATTCATATTCTTAAAAATAATTTCTCAATTTTTTCCATTTATTAAATCTAGGACAAGAAAGTGCACCACCAGCACCACCAGCACCACCTGCACAATCTGCGCCTCCTGCACCACCAGCACAATCTGCACCTCCTGCACCACCAGCACCACCATCAGTAGATTCTGCTTCAAAACCAGAAAACGCAGATAAAGATCCAGTTTCAGTAGATGTTGGATTACCCACACTCGTTGATTTACTTCGCAAATCTGTACCAGAATCAGATGGAGAATCATCTGGAACCAAAGTCCAATCAGGAAATCAATCATCTGAAGTTGGATCCGCATCAGAAGAAGGATCTTCTGAATCTGGAGTTAAATCAGGAACAGAAGAAGCATCATCTGAAACTGAGAAGGATCAAAAAGTAGATCAGGAGGTAGATGTAGTGCCTCAAGAACAAGAGAAAGAACATTTGGAACAGAATTAGTAGGATTTTTTGAAAAATGATTAGTTTCAGGAAAAGAACCTTAGGATTTGAATTGAAATATGTCTAATATTTATTGTAATATATTTATTTATTTATTTTTACAAGAATATATGTTTTTTCTTTTAAATGCTGTAAAATTATTTAATGCTTTATTAGCATAAAGCATTTCAAATAGTTGAACATAAATATAATAGTAAACCAAAAAAGATTTTATTGAAGCATCAAATTATTAAAAAATAAAAAGATAGATTTGAAATTTACTTAATAAATCTGGCAAGTGCTATTACAAGATCACATTTGATTCATCCTCAGTGCATATCCGATTTGGATTATTCAAACAACATTCCATTCCTATTGATGGGGAGTGATGAATAGTTTTTGGCAATAACATGTCAAGCCGTTTAGGAAATACAGTGCAAAAAGGGCTAAAAGTGGCAGTTTTGGAAAATTGGAGCAACCGAATTAAATGATTGAAAATATATTTCACATGTGTGATCCAGCGGTTTTGGAGATGCACTTTTTCTATTACATTTGCTGATCAAATGGGATTTCTGCAAATGATTATTATTAATTCATATACAAATAGAAATATTGGTAAATCAGTATACAGGTTTGCAGGTAATCAGGCAAAAAAGTAGAACGGAAAGCAAGTAGACAGACAGACAGATGGACTAATAAACTAAAAGACAAGTAGGCAGGTGAACAGCTGAACCCGTAGATAGGTAAACAGATGGATACCACCGTCAGGCAACCAGGTGCACAGGTAAACAGGTAGAGGGATAAAACGATAGACGAGAATAAATGTGGAGAGGTAGACATGTGACAAGTTGACCGGTAGATCATATGAAAAAAAACATATTGAAGTAAAACTTCTTTAGGCGCAACTAGGTTGTACATTTTTACAAATGCAACGGAAGTGCGTTAGGGCAGAGTTGAGTGCCAACGATTCGTCATTCGCTCTCGATGATATCATTTCTATACGGGTCGATTATGATTAGTCGTCGCGTATGTGAATAGAGATCTGTCGTTGTATGCGTACCGGCATCAACGTTGAATGCGTACCGATATCAACAAGCAAATCGGCACAGATAAATAAATTTAATGCTATTATAAATATATAATTTATCATTATATAAATGTGTATAATGGTTGATAGTTGTAATCACGAGTGTTACCATATTACTAATAAACATTATTCAAAATTGTTATATGATGGATTTATTTTTACTTAAATACCAACTTGTACAGTTGTTTTTAAGTTAGTTTTACTTCAATCGCGTGTGAACCTTACGCGCACTCTTTCTTTCAATTACTGGAGAAGAATTTAAATTAGTATTTTATTAGTAAATTCAATAACGCATCAAATTGTTTAATTGTTGTAATTTATAATTTGTTTTAGTTATTTTAATTCCTAATACTACAAATGTTACAGCCAAGTAAGTATATCAACAAAAATACCGTTATTGATCCATGTTATAACAGGTCAGCGTTTGTTTTGATATGTGAAATTTTAGCATAGATCTATCTGGCTATAAAATTAGCATATAAACAAGTTTTTATTTATATGTTTAATAGATGACCACGTTTATTAGTAGATATTTATGTATAAAATAACATATAAATATATTATGAGCCAACAACGAAATCTTTGGCAGTTTCTTTTAAAAATTTACTAGAGAGTGATCGTGTCTATAGTTTTAAATAGTTTTTGTGGTCATGAAACAGATTGTAAGTAATACTACATTAAATTTAACTAGTGAGGTGTATAGCATCGTGCCTTAGGCAAATGCTGGAACTTCCCGTACCGTAACGAAATGTTCGAGGAATATTGAATTATTATTAATCTAATAAATCTAGATTATTATTAATATTGTAACATTGTCTAATATTTATAAGAATTATATAAACTGAATTGCAAAGTTAAAATTATTTGTTTAAAGTATTTAAACATTATTTGTTTAAAGAATTAAAAATAAAATCTGAATTATTTTCGATATACAAAAAAAATTTTTTTTTTTGAAAAAAAAAGTTAAAATAATTTTTTTTTTCAAAATCAATTAGTTTGTTAAGACAAACAGAAAGTTCTTTGAATCAATTAAATCGGACGCTTAGTTCTCTCAAAAACCGCCATTTTTTGTACATTTAGCTCCGTATCTTCTAAATGGCTGGGCCTGCCTTTGCGAAAAACTAATAACCACTTCTCCCAATAATTACTAATTGAATGTTTTTTAGATCATTCAAATCGGATGCTCCTCAAAAACTCCTCAAAA